GAAGAACTGTGCCATTTAAGGCAATACTCACCTGATCGTCACATGCTTCTTAATCACACCCGAGGATTTTTTGATGGAGAAATTTCTTGGAGATGATTCGGCAAATAATACAGGGATATTGCTTTAATGTTAGGGCAGAACCCTTATGAAAAATGATGTTAATTGGAATAAAAGAAGGCTTGAGATATACTTTGCCAGAATTGATATCAGATCCTCCTTGCTTTACTACATCTGTAAGCCACAAGTACTTCAGGCCACTTCATTTGGAAACAGTTTACAGCTGTCTATTTGATTCATTTATTTGTGTTTGATTCATTTGTTATTCATATCAGAAACGCCACCGTGCAGATGATGAAGTTAACAGGCGTAAAGTATTAGGTAGGTGGCTTTCAGTTGGCTTTTGCCATCCCTTTTAATTGATTCTTCTATGGATGTGACCTACCAAATGTCTGTGGATTTAACTTAACAAAAAGTTAATATGTCAGTGTTTCAAAAGCAGCTGTTTTTTCAAATCTGAAGCTTTTTGATAGCCTCAGATAGGAAGATATGAAATATTCATCAAAAACGACATTCTCCGCATTTATCAAAGACAAGTGCTTTTAATCTGTTTTTTTTTTTACTTTAACTACTTTAACATTTTATTTTCTGTCAGGTTTATTAAGTGAGAAACCACAGCTCATCCAGCGGTTTGTTCCTGTATGGTCTTGCGTGCGTTGCAATTTGAAAATAAAGATTTTATAATGCCATGTATGACCTTCAGTGTTATTCTATGACTTCGTCCTTTGTTACAGTTCTGCGCTATGGGATTTGGATGAGAGTGAAGTGGGTTGAGGTAAGAGCACTGATTCAAGGCAATCTCTGTACCCTTCAAGGCTTGGGAAAAGCATGTGGAATCTGACAGTTTCGTAGTAGGCCATTATTTCATTTGAACTGAAATACATTCATGTCTAACAAATGTTTACTTTAACATTATCTACATTGCTAATATGACATGCTTTCAGACTTGTGTGAAGTGACTAACTATACAGAGGTTAGTTTGGAATTTAAACCATTTTGCTTGAGGGTCAGCAACAATCGAGATACAGAGTTTATTTAAAGTTTCTTGAATCAATTCCTGTGTCAATATCTGTTTGAATATTTAATTTATATATTAGGTGGTCATTGGTGACATAGTCAAAGTTTGCAGAGAGGAATTTTTCCCCGCCGATCTTGTGCTGCTCGCATCCAGGTAAAAGTTTATCTTGTGTGATTAACCCTAACCCCATAGGGTGTACGTAAAATCGTACTGAAATTGGAGGATTTGGGACTGTTAGGGTTAAGAGGACAAGGGTTTGAAGCCTACTGCTGGCCATTTCATTGTGTCCTCAGGCAGGACACCTAACCTTCTTCAAGAATTATGGGGTATATGCAGTGAGAAAGAAATGCCCTTTTCACGCCTGGATTGTTGGTTGGATTCACTTGATGACGCATGACTTGTGATCAACACGTACAGTAATGATTTAGCAACTTTGGATGTTCCGCTTGAGAATTGACTTTGTTGGCATTTGATTGCTTGTTCGGTTATGAATATGACGTGGACAACACGGGAGAGTGTTGCAAGTGTAGTGACTAGCGTACTTGTTGCTGATGATAATAGTAATGGAAATTTATTAGACACTGGATCCACCTTGATAAGATGCTCAAGGTTCTGAGCACAATTTACGTACGGAAGACACTAGGGATACAAGAATGAAGATACAATTGAAATTGTATGAAGTGAAGACCAAACCAACAATTCACACTATGTTTTGATGCATTTTGTAGGTTGAGATGCACTTGAGTAATTTTTCTGTATTTGAGATGTACATGCATTTGTCCAACGTCAGTCATGTTGGATTTGTCATAGATTCGTTTGTGTAAAGAAATCAACAATATATGAAAACCTTGTCAGAAATTATTCACTTCCGTAACTGTGTAGCCGCTCTTCTTACTCTCTTAAATGAAGGTATATTTTGATTTTGTAACAATGTATATGTGCTTGCAGTGCCCCACAGGCCATGTGCTACATAGAAACTGCCCAGCTAGATGGAGAGACCAACCTGAAGATTCGCCAGGGTGTACCGCAGACGGCCCATCTAGTCTCCAGTCAGGAGTTGATGCAGATGAACGGTCGGATTGAGTGTGACGTGCCAAACAGGCACCTGTATGAATTCACCGGAAATATCAGGGTCAAACAGGAGCAGTCGCTGTGAGTGCATACAACCTGTAATGTTGTTTCTCGACGTAGCTCATTCACTCTGAAGTGTCAGATCTGCAACAGTCAACCATTCTGTAAATCAGACATTAGTGCATGCCGATGCATTGGGGGTAAATCACTGTGCACGCAGTCGTGAATCATATTACATTGCCCGAATAAATCCTCGTCATTTAATTGGTGGAATGTTAATTGTGTGACGTGAACTACTTGTATGAACACATTAATGTGCAGATGTGAAAACTGTACAATAGAACCTTGCAAAACTGTGAAGTAGTTTGTTTAGGTCAAATGATCAATGCATGCTACACACTGTCATCATGCAGATGGTGCCATAAAGTAACTCTGTGACACAACATACACTGTGAGGTCATTTGACGTGGACAAAATTTGAGTCTTATGTGATGCTGAGGCTGTCGGTACAAAGACACCAATCATATATGCTGTCAGATGTGACAACAGGAACGTCCGTTGTTGCTCAAACTAAAGTGCCCTCTGAAACTGACTTTCCAATTCTTTCACAGTTTTCTGGGGATTCACAAAAAGGGGAAATATATATGTGACCCAGAATATCGAAAGGGGGAATAAGTCGCAGATTGGTTTTTTTTTGAGATGGGTACATGGTCAGAAAGAAAATTTCATAATTTTCAAATGGTACACATTGCAAGTGTGTTGAGGGTAACCTTTCATACATACACTTCCAAAATATACAGAAACCGCCACATAATTTACCCACATCCCCACTTTACTTGCTTATTACGTACAACGGCCTCAGTGACTTACTCCTTATTACGATGTATCGGGTCACAAATGGGCAAACTTCAGTCATGATTTTAAGTGTGAATGAAAGGTAAAATGATTAGCGTGTAAATTACAGATCAGACGACAGATTCATTCAGGTGTTGTATGATACAAATCAGGCATGCAACTTTTCCTCGGATCAGCTGATTTCCTTGTTTTTCACTTCACACTGGTCCCATTAGGAATTGAAAAACACTGTACAAAATGTCGGAAATATTGGAGTTGCCTCGTTTGTTGTTTTGTGTAAGTTGCATGCCTGACAAATGAATACAGAGATTAATTTCATTTGGTGACAGACAGAATGTTCCATTTGGTGAGTGGAATGGATAATTCCTGTCACCCCATGAGATTACTCCTACCAATACACTGACAAACTTGCATTATATGTATACTATACCTAGGCGGATAAGGCAGTATCCCAAATAATAATGATGTGACTTTGTTTTGGGATGGCAGGTCAGTACCTATTGGTCCGGAACAGGTCCTGCTCAGGGGTGCCGTACTCAAGAACACCCAGTGGATTCATGGGATAGCTATCTATACGGGTCACGAGAGCAAGCTTCTTATGGTAAGATGGCGGAAAACAACATGGAAATAAATTGCCTTGGACCAAACATGGCCAATTTCTCTTTGTTCAAGCTTTTTAAAATTTTCCTGTTATTGGCTGTTCCAAAGATTTGGCTTTAAATTTGCTGTGTGGAGCACACAACGTAAGTTTTGATTGTGAAGTAAATTCTTTTTCATTCATCCTAAAATTCCCCCTTGATTAGCATGTAATTCTGCTATGGTTAATATTAATAAATCATCCTGAAATTCCCCCTTGATTAGCATGTAATTCTGCCATGGTTAATATTAATAAATCATTCTGAAATTCCCCTTGATTAGCATGTAAATTCTGCTATGGTTAATATTAATAAAAATGTTGATCACCCAGTAAGCTTTCTGCCAAAAACAACTCGGCAAATTTGGTCAACATTTATTTTCAGAGTGTTTGAGGATTGCATAGGCTGACTGCTTCCATTTGTGCTTTCATTATTTCCAGAACTCTAAAGCAGCACCATTGAAAAGATCAACAGTAGACAGAACAACAAATTCACAGGTGAGAATTTTTGTTTTGTTTTGTTTTGTTATCATTAATTATTTCTGATAATGACATCAAGGATTTGTCAAAAGCGATCTAGGCACTGTAGCTCGTACGTCTGAAGAAACCTGTGGAGAGGAGACAACAAGAAGCAGTTACAGTTTTAGAGGTGGGAGGAAAACCCCAGAGCAATATTCTGGGTAAAACCCATGGCCTCGGGTAAGGACTGGAAACCCAATCAACATGTGGACCGAGCCAGGAATGGAACCCGGGACGACAGAGTTGGAGTCGAGGAAAGAACCACCAAGCCAACCTAACTCATGCGTTTCCATTTGAATTGATCTCTGTTACATCTTCATGGTGATCTTTCAAATTTTCACCCTTTTATCCCGTTGGTTTCTTCCAGATTCTGTTCCTATTTGTTATACTTCTTGTGCTCTCCCTGGTCAGTTCCATTGCAGCAGAGGTGTGGAATAGGCAACATTTATTATCTGACTGGTACATAGGATTTAAAGGTAATCAGGAAGTTCAATATCACCAAACGTTTATTCCCTTTGTAAAAAAAACACTTCCTATGTTCAGTGTTGATTTAACCCTAACAGTCCTGAATGCTACAAAGTACTACTTAGCAGTAAAATGTAGTACTCAGCCCTGTCGCTTGTAAGAGGACATGACATTATTATTCTCTGAAGCCAGAAAATACAATAGAGAAGACAATGTACCATACAGTGCTGTGGCACTATGAATGCATGGTTTCATTGTCCTCTGTACGAGTAACAATGGAAGTAACCTAGCCAGAAGTAGTAATTTGTAGCGCTAGGTCCTTCAGGCTCAGAGTATTAAGTAGTATTTTGTAGTACTGAGTACTCTAAGCCAGACAGCGCCCGGTACTGTTAGGGTTAAAATGAGATTGAACAAACTGTTTTTGTGTATCTAGAAATAACTTTTAATGTAAGCTTCCAAATTGCTTTTGATTTTTAATTAGATTCAGATGGTTAATGATGTTGCCTCTGACTTTTTGGTGTTTAACACTGGTGTCGGCAGACATAAGGGCAAAGGGAGATGGATTTTAATATCTAGGCGCCACATCTGCTGCATATTGAAGAAATTTCAAAAGATTGTGGGCAGTTCCTACCAATAAACAATGACCTACAGATATTGAATGGATTTTACTCCTTGATTCACTCGCTGCCCCGTAAAAATGGATTGGTAGATGCTCTTGCTAATCCAGATGTAAAAGGTATTTTTAACCCTTGTTTCTCAGCATCTCTTCTCCTGTCCCCGTGTACCCCTGATTAGGTGTGTGTTTTGCACAATGATCCTAACACTGGCTTACTTGTACATTTTAACATATTAACCAAACCTTTGAGGTGCTGTAGATTAACCCTAACCATTTAAGGTCTTTTAATCTACTAAACGTGGGGAGATTTTGTGGGGTGTTGGAAGGTTGAGCCGAACTGTTTTAATATCAGATCACACCTGAAAGAGGCAGTGCCGTGTAGGTTCCTAACATTTAGTGCCAGAGTTTTGAGAAGCCAGGAATGCTGCTTGCTGTGTTGCCTAGGGTTGTTAGGATTTAACGGTAACCATCTAGGATGCATGAAGAAAACGTTTAAATTGGAGGATTCAGAATCGGTAGAGTTAATTATTTCGTGTGTTCAACTGTAATGATTTTACAGTATGAATTGTGTGATACCGTATGTCCTTTAATAAATAAAACACTGCCTGTCCCATTCATGGATAAGTGGGCACCCACGAGAAAGGTTTACCTCCTTACCTCAAGTGACAGTGATCTAACTTACTAAAGTGGTCATTATTAGCTCCAAGCTGGACCGAGGGAGGGCACAATTTCTCACTACAGAGGCACCTTTGATGGGAACTGCACTTCACTAGTTCACAAACGACTATGAAATGCACACATTAGGTTCCATTGCTACCAACAAAATGAGCACTCACCACCAACATGGCTCTTTTTGACCAATGAGGGGGTGCTTCTGCTCAAGGCGGGTAGATGGTACATGTAGTAGGAATACGTGACCAGCAGGAGCAATAATGCTGCAGAGTCGTATGCAGTATTTTAGTAACAGTGTGCATGTAGTTTGTGAAACTGTGTTTTGTTGTCATTGATACTGAGTTAGTTTGTGTTTCAGATGTGATAAAGGTCTCTTTTGTTGGTATCCCTGGTAGATTTTGCTCCGAATTCCTTCTTCTACAACTTCCTGACATTCATCATTTTGTACAACAACCTGATTCCAATCAGCTTGCCCGTCACCCTTGAACTGGTCAAGTTTGGCCAAGCCTGGTTCATCAGCTCGGTAAGCCAGAACCGCAGTTCATTTTCATCCCAAGTCAGAACATTTTTCTGATGAAGTGAATGAGAGGAAGATAGGCTGTCGAGGACTCTGCCATAATTGGGATTCTTACATGATCTTTGTTGCTTCAGATGAAAGCACACTGCGGACATTTGTAACTGTCATTTCTCTCCTGTTAAGAAAATCTTGCCAACAACTTACTTGAACTTGATTGAGACTACTTCAGCTAAAATTACTACCGTTGATCCAGTGTTAAAATTCTACATTTTAGCGTTAGTATATTGCATGCTGACCACATACGCTGTTTCATATGGTACTTGGCGGTGATCCAGATTTACATTGCTTAACTTGAGCAAATGACACATGCAGCAGAACGTCAAATGATAGTTTGGAGCTGGAACATTGGCTAAGACAAGACTTTTCAAAGGGGTGGTAGACAGTCATCGTCTCCGAGACCAACAGAAAATTTGTTGATCCCATGTAAACTCTGCTAATATTCCATGATTGCAGTGCCGTGCGACCCAAACTTGATTTTCCATGCCACTTTCCGTTTGGTCACAGAGAAAGTAGAATGGAAAATCTAATTGTTGTTGGGTGACCCCTCCTCTTCAGGATGTGGATATGTACCATGAAGATACCAACACGCCTGCCAACGCCCGCACATCTAATCTAAACGACGAGCTGGGACAGGTCAAGTACATTTTCTCTGACAAAACTGGTACCCTGACAGAGAACATCATGGAATTCAAGAGATGTACGGTGGCCGGTATCGTGTATGGAACCAACGGGGAAGAGGCGAACGTCTTCTCGCAGGCCAAGTTGCTGGAGAACCTTCAGAATAAACATGTGAGAATTCCTCCCTTTGGCTCATCACCGTACTAACATGAAGGAATAATAGTGTGCTGGAACAATTCTAAACATGATTTGAAGGAGGTTTTAGGGCCAGTCACTGTCTCTTATTCATCATACATGTCTTGTGTGCGTGTTTCTAACTGCACTGTGTATCCTGTGCAATGCGCTACACAACAAATGGCTCTGGGCAGTATTTTTCTGCAGGTGCATCTCAGCTTGGGCTCTGTCTTTATGTCACCACTCAGTGGGAGCATTTGTGCACAGAATACCTCTGTGAGATTCTTTGTACAAGGATGATCAAACTTCTTTCCAACCTTGATCTCCTTGCATTTGATTTGGTAGCAGAGAATGTCCCGGAGAGCTAATTTTGATTCACACCGGTAGTTCTTTTTGTTGTCCATACAGCCAACCGCGTCTCATATACGCATGTTCCTGACCATGATGGCCGTGTGCCACACGGTGATCCCCGAGAAAGAACAAGACAGTGACAAGATCGCTTACCAAGCGTCCTCACCGGGTGAGCGCAGGGTCATGTCAGGTTATTGGGATAGAAATTCCGTCCAAGCCAGGCAAATAATGTGAAGAAGGCCCCAACGTAACCCCCACCTCACCTAAAGCTTCAAAACACTACCTGGTAGTAAAAACTGTTGCTTGTATCCGCCCTGAGTTAAAGTGCACCCCCAATCAGCAAAAGAAAGACAGATGGTAGTAAAGTTTTCCGAGCGGGTTCTTGCACGCCTTCTGCGTGTAGGCAAAGACCATGCATTAAGGAATAAATTTGTTACGGTACTCGGTGTGCTCCGCGTCAAACATGCCGCTGATCTCTATTATAAACGCACGCGTACGCAGTGAGTGCCCGAAAAAGCTCTGTTTTGTTCCGCTTGCACATGACCTTGTTGTACCCTGTACAGTAAGTAATCCAAATGGCTCAGGACCTGAAGTAGTATTTTAAACTGCAAGGTCTCTAACCTGAGATTACCACTTAGTAGTTTGTCTCTCTGAGTCCGAGACCCCAAATGATGTGCTGGGGGGTAGGGGCTACAATATGTCACAAAAATTCAGAGTCCTTCAACAATTTTTCTGCACTGTTTTTCTGATGAATGAATTTAATCTACCCTTGAACAGATGAAGGTGCCTTGGTGGACGCAGCCTGTGCCTTGGGTTTCAAGTTTAATGTCAGGACACCAGACTATGTGGAAATCAATGTGGTATGTCACCATTTGTAAAATGCACACTCATTCATCTCTTGATTTCAACATTCTAGGACAGAAGTTGTGATTGTAAGAAGCAGTTGGGGGAAACTCCACATTAGTTGTAGCTTTTTAGTCATGGTACTCTCCCTCAAACAAACTAAAAAATTCATGGAAGCTTGCAACCTGTTTTGTCCAGAAATTCATTCTTTATAGGCAAATAAAAAACAATTCAGGTGGAAGAATCAATTTCATTTAAAGCTCCTATTTGTATGTCTGTCTCTCCCTCCAGATGGGAAAGCAGGAACGATATGACATTCTGAATGTTTTGGACTTTACCAGGTAAGTACAAACAGGGACATTATCATACAAGGATGGATCTAGAACCAAATCTCATCAGCCAGTGCTGACATGTATGTGCTCTGTAATGCAGTAAAGATGGAGAATATTGCATGATTTTGGCATTGTATTGAAAATTTTCTTTGTTTTCTTTCATATACATATTAGCCTTGGATCAAAAAGCTGTTTTTGCTAAACATTGCTGTCCATTGTGTGATTCCAGTTGTGGGTAGATCTGCTATCCTAAAGCCGGGGAGTTTCCCGTGCTTAATGACCAGCAGGTGTAAGTTCTAACCGCATGCCCATCATATTCCTTCATGAACTGTTCTTTTACTTGATAATTTTGAGATATTATTTATTATTTTATATTTTTCTACAGTGCCCGAAAGCGAATGTCTGTCATTGTACGCACCAGCAATGGAACCATACTACTGCTGTGCAAGGGAGCGGTGAGTTAAACCCGTAGATTCAGTGACATTTCAGGAATGGTTTCACTAAGTGTGTCTTGGGGAGATTAAGGCATTGCAAGTATAGGGTGACGTCATTCGTGACTAGAATTTTAATCACCGTTTTGTAGGACTCAGTGATCTACGAGCGACTGAGCGACAGCCAGGAACATCGGGATGAGACACTTCTACACTTGGGAGCGTTTGCCTCAGAAGGTACTTAACATCGTCTTTTGTACCTGTGCATGAATTTGATATGAACATTCAGAAGCCTCCTTTTTTGGCTGGAGGGCCACATTAAACCCCACCCACAATGACATTATGTTAACAGTTTCACTGGGATGCTGTTCACATGTTCACACGTACATTCACAGTAGTGGCTGACAATAGCCTTGAAATTTTCTCTTTCATTTTATGAATACACTGAACTTTGTGTCCGTTTGTTGAGCTTGGGTGCCATGCATGACCTATGTTGCAGCAAATACCAGTGTTAAAAGACATACTTGCAGTATAAAGAAATGTAATAGAATTCTGTTGAACTTTCAGAAATCCACTGTTGTAGTGTCCAACAATAGTTGTGAAAATGACCGTGGTACCTTGTCATCTTCAAAAAGTCAGCATTCTCAAACGAAAAGAATGCAGTGTCACGGGCCAGCTTGCCGACAAATGATACTGTCAACAAATGGTTAACAAGTCCTGGAACTGTTTTTTTTTCCAATGTCAGGACTGCGCACTCTGTGTTTCGCTTTCCGCGAGATCCCCAAGCAAGACTACGAAGATTGGAGTGCCACCTACTACAAGGCCAGCACAGCCCTGCAGAACAGGGAGGCCAAGCTGGAGGAGGCAGCCGAACTGATTGAGATGAACTTCAATCTGATCGGCGCATCAGCCATCGAGGACAAGCTACAACATGTGAGTCATTGCAGGCATGATATGTTCCCTGATGGAAGTGGGTTTCAAATATTTTTGAATATTAACCAAAACAAAATTCAATTTGAAATTATTTTGATTATCATGTCTTTCACTGGAAATTAAAGCATTAAAATAAAAATTAATACCTGTCCACTCTAATGAATAACTTGAGATTTGTGGAAAAACTTGCCTGCATGTTTTAAGCTGCATTTCAAGCATATGGCAAGGTAGGATTAGGACATAGTGCAATATAAAAAAGCCATCATCCCATTTATCCTGTCATTGGCAATTTGGTTGCTGTTGGATGTGGTTGAAATGAAAAAAGAGAAGATTGTAAAATTTACAAAATAAATCCAGGAAACATGGCTTGAAAATGGGAATAAGTTCTGTGATCAAAAGAAAGCACGAATCATGAAAAATGTTCCTTCCAGTAGAGCTTGTCCAACTAAACTTTGTACTGAGACCTGCTCCTGCCAGCAGTGTTCCACTGCTTTTTCATGAATAGTCTGTGTTGACGAGGTGAATTTTTTACTTTTTAACTTATCATTAGGGTGTCCCAGAGACCATTGACTTGTTGATGAAGGCAGACATTAAACTGTGGGTGCTCACTGGAGACAAACAGGAAACAGCTATCAATGTTGGTAGGTACTGTTCAGCATTGAATTTCTAGAGGGTGAATTTCATTGTAACAGCACTCGTCACGAGTCCAAGCAAATAACCTTGACTTAATGGATTGACTTAAATTTGCTTTCCTGTACATTGTGACGAGGCAAACCCAACCAATGTGCGAGAGAACGTAAGTGTAAAGAAGATTTTCATTCTTGAGGCAGGACTTCAAAGCGAAGTACATGCCACAAAATTTTTACTGTAAGACTTGCTCGCAGGTAAAATGGGTTTAACACTTGCAAGTTCACATATCAGATGTGTGCCACACGATCACAGAGTTTGCAATGAATCATGAGGTCACATGGATTTGTCCAACCTTTTAGATCTGTTTTGATAGCCTGATGATGTTGGATGACCAAAGTTGTAACAAATAATCCCCTCACTCTCCTTGTAGGTTATTCCTGTAAGCTGTTGACCCAGAACATGCCGTTGCTCGTGATCAATGAAAGTTCCCACGACGACACCAGAGAGACCCTTCAAAGACACATTCAAACATTCGGGGAAGACCTGGGCAAGCAAAATGACGTGGGCCTCATCATCGATGGGAAGGTAGACATTTATACTCAGCTTCACAGAGCAAAGTTAGACAATTTGAAGTAGATTTCAGAAACCTAACAAAGTCACTGAAATGGAGTGTTGGTGCACCACCCAAATGACACAGAAATGACTTCTGTCATCCTTGAGTGACAAAGTATTCTTCCTCGGAACCTTACACAATCCTCCAAGATTCATCACTCTGCCAAAAGCCAACAGCGTATTCTGTGTCAAGATTGAAGGGTCATCAAGCCCCATGGAAGATAAGATTGTCAAGGCTTTACCTTCCCCAATCCCACAGGATCCTCTAAAACTGCCTAGAGGATTTTGATCCATGTGTATTTGGGTAATGAGATAAATTTTTCCTGCTGAAGGAATAGGTATGCAAGGAAACCTTGTAAAATGACAAGTGTGCCACGATGGCTTATGTTGGGTTTTGTGGGGTTTTTAACTCTCTGGACACATGTTTGCTAATTTGAAACTACTGAGACTCACTGACTTGGATGTAAACTTAGGCAAATTTATGTATTCAACTTGGGCAAATTTATGTATAAATATATTCATCATGCATTAACTTCTTGTTTCAATTCATGTTTTACATTAACCTGAAATATTCATTCCTATAATACTCACAGTACAACCAGTCACAAACATTATATTAGCTTTTGTAGAACTTCTTTGTCCAAAAACAGTGTTGTCCAATGTGTCACTATATATTGGAATAGTCTGGACGATTCTCTCAAATCATTGGCCACTCTTCATAGTTATACAAGAAAACATAAACGTTCCTTTCTAATTACATACCAAAACATCGTAATGGGGGTAATAATGGCATTGATTATTATCTTACATCTTTTTTTGTGCTTTGTCTTCATGTGTGTCTCTCGTCTGTTTGTCTGACCATAGGCTGGAGAACAAAAGTTGTTGCTTCACTCCAGACCTAGATGTTGCCGTAGGTTAAAGTTCAATTTAAATTAACTGTCATATCTCTATACATTGCACATGATGTGTCAGTGTGATTATATCATTGTATTACCCTTTGATGAACTATGGCAGCATTGAAATAAATGTAAATGTATATTCAAAATACCTCTTATTATTCCTGAATGAAGAACATACAGTCTCTCACATCTTTTTGACTCCCCCCACCTTTCCGTTCACAGACCTTGATGTTTGCTCTGGACTTTGACATGAGGAAGGATTTCCTGGAGTTGGCCATGTCATGCAAAGCAGTTATATGTTGCCGGTGAGAGGCATTTCATAGAACGAATCAAATCATTTTACCGGGCCCGTGCTGGAGTGCGTATTGGTATATGGGTTTTTGTGTCCGTAAAGAGAAAAAGTACAAGTGTTGAAACCGATCCTCAATCCTCATCCCGTCCTTGGGTATCAATATGAACGCAAGTGATGGTAACAAAAAATGGTCTTCATTTACATCGGTTTTTTGATCCTACTAGAGCCAGTGGGGGATCCCCCTGCACGTTATTGTTGCAGTGGATTTGTTTGTTGTGCTGAATCTTCTTAAGTGTCTCCTCTGATGTCTTGCGGTAATTTGGACACCTATATTATGAGGATCAGGCATTCTGGACTCGTGAAATCTTAGTTTTTTTCCAAGCCGTGTCAGGTAAGATGCTAACTTTCTTCGTCGGCATATGTGCCCAGTGCACGGGCTGACGCACATGGGAGCATGAACTTTTCTTTCTTTAACTGACATCGAGAATAGTTCCCTTTGCTCTTCCACTCAAAGGTCATGTACCAACTAATGCTACATGCAACTGAAACACTTTCTTTTAGACTTTGTCACTTGTCACTAGAAAACTTTCATTTTCTTTGTGACTATCTGTACCTATTTAATATTCTGTTTAAGGGTCACCCCACGGCAGAAGGCGGAATTAGTTGAACTGGTCAAGCAGAGCGTCAAGGTGGTCACCCTGGCCATAGGGGATGGTGCCAACGATGTCGGCATGATACAGGTATGGACACATTAATGCTGAAAATTCGGCCCATTTTGACTGCAACTGTTTTTTTCCTGCGGCATTTTGCCTACCACAAAAACTGGCCAGGCCAGCATGGCCAGTCAGCTGAGTGATTTTGCACACAGTAACGTACGTGAGAATGAAGTAGTCCCAATCGATGTCATAAATGTACAGTTCGGATTGCACAGGGCACGTGGCACTAAACTGCAAACACTACATTGTGGTGTTAGTTAAAATACTACCACGACCATACAATTGTCCTGTGTGCATGAAAAAAGTGAAGCTCTCGATATACCGTTAACACGCGTACACATTGATGGGCACTTGTTCTAGACTAACATTATTGCATGGTACATTAAAATGCTTGGCTTGGGCATGCGCTGTTATGTTAAGTTGTTGGGTAGGCCGGTGGGTGTTGCCTTGCAACACTGACTGTGCTGCGCTTGCGATCATGTAGTGTGCATGGCGCGGGCCGGGCCGGGCCGCCGGTGCGCGGCGGGCTGAGTGTACGATATTCCCACATACACACAGTGCACGCACGCCCTGCATATGCATGCATGCCGTGCATTTGGGTGGCGCAGCGCGGTGTTCCGGTTGAATGTGAACGATCATGGAACGATGTGTATGTCGCTTTCCGTGTCGATATGCACGTGTAGGGCACTACGGCCCTAGAGAAAAAAAAAGGACGCTGCCATCTTGGCGCTGAAACATGATCCCTTTTTGGAGGCACCACAGCCAAATGGGAGGGCACCGATGGCCGTGCCCGTCAGGCAATTCAAAGCCTGCAAAGCTATTAGTCAGAACAGGAATTTACCCAAACTCGCATGAAATTCATATCTAGTTGTCATGACATTATAGCGGCATTCTAAAGCTTGACTCCCCCGTCCCAGCTCAGTTTTTCTTCAAGTCGCTTTAAAACTTTGACAAAAAGCGAAATTTACCACTCACATCTACCTTACCTTTTCCTCTCCTTGTTACCAGGCTGCTGATGTGGGTATAGGCATCAGCGGCCGTGAGGGTCTCCAGGCAGCCAACTGCTCCGACTACTCCATCGCTCAGTTCCGCTTCCTCCACAAGCTCATGCTGGTGCACGGCGTGTGGAGCTACAACCGCCTGTCCAAGGTCATCCTGTATTCCTTCTATAAAAATATCTGCCTCTACATCATGGAGGTGAGTACGAAAGTTGGATGAGCCCCAAGTTGGATCAGATTCACCGTTGAGGAGATGCTGTCCAAAGCACAGGCTGTGCACAGTCCACCAGGCTATTGAAGTTCGACAAAGAACATGAAATAGCGGTTGTGTAGTGTTGCTTGTTTACCTGAGGAAGCTTTGTGTGTCCCAGCTGGCGAAAAAAGTTTTTGTGGAAAAAACCACAAACTTTGCATTTTACTGAGAAGTAGTTATACAAATTTTTAGGGACATTTGAATATCTGGAATGTTAAGTTAACCTCAATAGAAAATAGAGTGGTTTAAATTTTGTATGCTTTGCTTGCTTTTAGCCTTTTGGCTTTAATGAAATTAACCATGCATGGAACACTCCAGTAGGAAGAAAAAGTGCTTGTAAAAGTAAGACTCATGGCTTTCGTCGGGATTTGTCTGTTCTCAAGAGTGACCAGTTGGAAAGAGAACACCAGAAACACCACAGTCTTTTGCAAATAAGATGTGTTTTCCAAACGAGCATCTAATGAAGAAGCTGGTAGGATTGGAGTAACCCTTTGCCCATACATGCAGAGTGGTGTCTCCAGTTGTCAGCTTTAGCAATCCAGCATTTTCCTTCTGTTCAGTTTCATAAAGTATTCTTTGTATTTTTTTCTCCTGCAGTTCTGGTTTGCCATTGTGAATGGCTGGTCAGGACAGATCCTGTTCAACCAGTGGTGCATCGGCATCTACAACTTGGTGAGTCGGACCAAATGAGAAATGGAATAAATTGATTAGGCATCCGCTGTTATCTCCAGGCACAACCTGTTCCTTTTCAGGTTGTTCCGTTGGCCAACTTGTTTGGATGCGTACAGTAAAAAGTCGGGGTGTTTCATCGTCGTCCATATCTTTTTTAATTTTTATTATTTTTTAGTATTTCCTCTTCTCATTATAAATATTACAAAAAAAAAGAAAGCTTGTGTAAGGCCTGCCATTCTATAATACTACACACAATAAAGCATGTGGTTCAGGCTACCAAACAAACAAAGACAAGAACAAAATCGAATACACATTAGGAAACATGACTCACAGTAGAAAGTATGTACAAGTTGCGAATGTAAAAACATAATGTGAAATGTACGTCTTGCCTAAAGTGTCTGGGAAATCTTAAGCTCACTCTTTTGCAGATAAATGTTGCCAGGTGAATTCGCTCCGGAAGTCATCTGTAAACCACTGATTGGCTTTATCTCCCTTCATCCTTTGCCCTAGGCCTTCACTGCTTTGCCTCCATTTGCCATTGGTCTCTTTGATCGTAATATCAGCGTGGAGAGCATGCAGCGATTCCCCCAGCTCTACAAGCCTTCCCAGAACTCGGAGTACTTCAACTCCAAGGTTGGTGGAGTTCGACTCATTCCATGCAGAGCCAACCTGCACGTCCATAAATGCCCTATAGACCAAACCCCTGCGATAAGAAAAAGTGCTATGAAGTGTAAGCTGTGTGTGCTCACTTATATTCTTTTGTATGAGTTTTGGTTTAAACTTTGATACTTGGATGGTTTCTGTATACTCTATACGTTACCAACTGCTACATGTATACAACCGCAAGTTCGCAACCTTATACAATTGCATATTGTTGGCTTAGTTTTGGGGATATGCAAATAGAGAGAAAGACCTCATATAAAAGTTACACAGTGCTATAGAATATGATTCAAAGGCACCTGATGCCTGTTTTGTATATTATGTGGACTTGTTTTTGAATCTTAATAGTCAGCAGATGGGCATTCGTTCCTAATCCACTTGTTTCATACATACTCACACGGTATATCAGACATCTGTGGAGGCTGACTGTTTATTTGTATACATGGCCTGTTGTAGCAACTGTCTCTCCACGGACGAGCTTTGGAGTGTGGCTAATTATTACTTGGCTGTTACAAATTTTAAACAAATGTTGTCCAAATGACAGTGTAGAATCAGTATATGTTGCAATTGGCTGTATTTGAAGTTGCTTTTTGAGTCTCTGGCAAGTGGTTAAAGCACAGTGCTTTTGCTCAGTTGATAAATGGTTTATTGTTGGACCAGATCTGTCTGGTGCATAACAGAAGAGGAGGTGTCCAGGCCGTTATCGCATTAAGGGGACAAATGATTTTGTTAGAAAATTTGTGGGAACAAGAATTGGTACCCGTAATGACTCTGTAGCCGATATTACAAAACTTTATCCAATGGTGTAACTCCACTTACGCCACATTTTATTGTGTAAGTTGGGCAACAAATAAAGAGTGATTTCATGAAACCGGCATACTGTTGAAGTCCGCGACTTAAATAACAATTTAAGGCGTAACTTACGCAGTCAATTTAGGCGGCATGAGTTGCGCCAAACAAAATGAAAATGAATGATTTGACTAGTTTATCGTGTTTGGTTGAGCCTCATCATTGCTGGACTCAAGGCTAATAGGAGAAATGTGCAACTTTGTTGTAGAAGGTAATGAAAAACTTGTTTGGCTGTGAGAACTGCAAGATTTTCTGATGGAAAACAGACGAAAACTTTTTCAAAATGGCAGGTGGAGGTAATACAACAACTGGTTGATGACTGTTGTGATATTGGAAAGTAACAGCTGTCATAAAAGCAGTAATTTGATATTATTAAATCTTGGCGCAGCTATGCAGCTTTTCGTGAAATCAAACGTAAGTATATTATTCAGCTACGGCATAAATTAGTGGCATAAGACTTATGCCATATTTTGTGAAATTGGCTGCTGGTATCCCAAAAACATCTGTGTGTCAACAAGTGTGTACTCTCCACAACCACAAACAAATAGTGCGTGATCTTCTTAACATTGATTGTATGCTCTCAACCTTCATCCCAGGTGTTCTGGATGTGGACCACCAATGCCGTCTATCACTCCTTGCTTATCTTCTGGTTTGTGGTTGGTGCCCTCTACCAAGATGTCGCATTCCCCGACGGCAAACTAGGCGGGCATCTATTCATGGGGAACATGGCATACACGGTGAGATACTGACATGTCTTGATTAAACGGACAATATAAGGCAAGAGACTGTTTCGCTGAAGTCATCGGCACGGTTTGAAGAAACTTAAAACCGTCTGTTTTATTATGTCTCTGTTTTTTGTCTTGACAGAAAAACTTTTTCCCTTTCTGTTGCAGTATGTGCTTATTGTAGTCACCTTGAAAGCAGGTCTAACAATGGATGCCTGGAGCTGGGTGAGTGAAGATTGGAAAATGATTTGAGTTGAACAGCACTCATCAGCCTCATTAGCATGTCAGACGTTAGAATATTAGTTGAACTGCCAAGAGATTATGAATTGTCTTGGTGTGCATTACTTTAAAATTTCTTTGTTCATCTTTGTGTTATAAATGTTGTGCAAGCGCCCAGTCATTTTTCCTACATGGTTTATTTGACATTTTGAATTCAAAAAAGCCACATCCACTCATGGAGATCCCTGCTTACCGCCTTCCACATTAGCGATGTTGCTGATTTTGCCGGTGTCTCAACTCTCAACTTTGGGCAAGATCCTTGGCTGTGTTGAGTACAGGACTATGGCTTCTGTCTAGAACCCCCGAACAAACGCACTGACACAATTAGATGAGCCACTAACACGGCTTGGTAGCTCAGTTGGTAGGGCACTGGCAAGTTTTTTCGGAGGTTGCAGGTTCCGAATCCCACCTGTCATCTTTGTAATTACCCTACCAATGAGTTACGTGCAGCACTTCATCAAAAAGTCTTGATTAACCAACAATTTTATTATCGTCTTGGATATCCCTTGCAGCCCGTCCACTTCTCCATGTGGTTTAGCATCATCGCCTGGTTCATCTTCCTCGGCATCTACTCGGCTTTATTCCCCGCCGTCAAGATGGCCTCCGACATGACTGGACAGGTGAGAGACAGCACCACAATTATTCAGCTCTTCCACATCTTCTTGAAATGTAGCATTTTTGTTGCCAAGTTACCCCTCCCCCCCCGGTGAAAAGCAAAACAGTGATGGTTGTTTCCACATGCATAAAACAAACGTGTGTGGCTTAAGGTTAAAAGATACAACTGAAACTAGCAGTAGCAACGAAAATAAAATCTCCACCTGAAAGGAGTTTGGTATTCCAACAGTGCATGCTCAAAATGAAGCAGAGGTCATTCGGTAACAGCAAAAACATGCATAAAGGATGGCCTCATCAGCACGGTTGTCTGCAGACTCACACGCCTTGAGCATGTTGCTATTTGCGTGCTTTGTTCTTGAATGACCTTGCTTCTTTAAAAGAATGAACTTGGTCATTCTCGTGGTTGCCAAGAGTTCTTGGCAGAATTCTGATTCAGCGCTGTTACTAACCACACCAAATCAGTGTTGTAGTCAAGTAGTTTTTGAGTATCGAGTTCACTGCCAAATATTGAACTGGTAACATGAGAATAAAGGTTTAATAAAAATGAACTTTTTATGACAAAAGTACTGAGCCATGTCCTTCGGAGTACTGTTGCCCTTAAAACTTATTATTGTTTACGAAACTGGGAGTGTCTGAAGTCTTACATTTATTTTGCACTGTTACCTTTGTGTATTTCTCATCAAATGTCCATGTTCTCAGGCTTTGGTCCCATCTTTCCAATGACATATTTGGCAGTGACTTTGGTACTGCAGAAGCACTCAAACACCACACTGCACTCAACAAGTTTCCATTTTCTGTTGCGCTCCTCTAGGCCCACATGGTGCTTGCTTGTGGCATTTTCTGGATGCTTCTCTTCCTCATTCCTGTCGTCGCTTTATGGCGTGACGTAGCCTGGAAAGCGTAAGAAAACCTGTTTATCATTTGCACCTGTGTTACTGCCTGTGGAAAGAGCTTTTAGCTTAACGCTCATGAGATGATGTGGAGATACAAATGTAACACGTGAAGTTGCTGTTTAGGTTAAGTTTTTAACCTAGATACACTGGCCGTCATTGTGACTGTTCCTAGATGAAAGAAAGGAGAGAGTACAAGTTAACTATGTAAAATCATCTAAACTACAAAGTACTGCTTAGATAAATAGACCAATAATATAATGACATCAAACTGTTTTCTTGTATGCTTCCCTGTGGTAGTGATATCAGATACGATCCAGCCCCCCTGTAAACAAAGCATGAAGTAATTATGTTTTGGGTCTGTTTTTATCTTTAATGCTTCGAAAAGCCATAGAATTCCTTCGACCATAGATGATATATGGGATACTATCAAAAAACTATTTTTCCTTTTATGATGTACAATAAGAATTTTTATGCCTCTTATAGAAATTCTAGCATTCTTAAAGTGCTGACATAAATATTCACAAGTACTTCCACAGTTTTATGACATTTTCATAACAAGGGTGATTCTTTGCAAATTCTGTGCCCATTTTGCAAAATTTGAAGTTCATGTTTCTTCATCTGGTTCAGGTTCAAACGAACTCTTTTCAAGAGCCTCGCTGAGGAGGTCAAGGAAGCTGAGGTCAAGCATATTGACCCTACTGCCATAATCCAGCGGTCTGTCAAAAAGAGGTTTGTCATGACCATTGGACTGTTCCATATTTCAGTTTTGGGGTTACTAGAGTTTATTGATTGTTTAATTTGTCATAACATTCATCACATGATGTAACAGTAAGGAAATAAACTAAAAGGAAAGCTGGAATACTAATAAACTGACACGTTAACTAGTGAAGGTTTTACTTACATTGCATTTTCTTTTATCAACAAAAAGGTAACTCAGAAATACCCTGTTGAACATCAAAAAAAGTTTTTTAAATATTTATAGAAACGTACCAGATTACAATGAAGCTCAAATCATGCAACCTTTCTCCTCGTTGAATTGTGCTAGTTCCTTCTCTTTGCCATTTTTATGACCAATTTATACTCAAAAGTGTGACAATTTTCAAATCACATTTTGTCAAATTTTAGTATTGACTTTGCTCATTCATTTTTTTTTCAATAATTGGAATACAATTAGTATTCATGCTATATCTACTAAAGCTTCACATGGGTAAGATGAACATTAATCAGAAATCACTGACGAGCACAAACACTCCATCATACTGCACCGCCGCACAGAGGTACTGATGAATTCTGGGAAAGGTCACAAGTTTTCTTCTGGGTTGGTTCAACGCTGAACTCCCATCGAGCTTGCAATTTCCATGGTCACAGTTACCTATGTCTCTATTGCCTATGTACTCTACATCTCCTCTTAACCTGCGACTGTTTCACTTCTTCACTGTTTTACCCAATTTGGAATCTTGCAGCCCACCTCAAAAATGAGCAGAGATTACAATTGCTAGCAAGTGTTTACATTTTCAGCATGCAAGTGCATTTGTCCCAACACAGAAAGTCACAATGGCATCTTATGCAGCAGCCTGTATTCCATAGCATGTCGCAATGCATAGGCAAATACGTCAGTAATTTACACCGATTCTTTTTTATAAATGATGGTGAATGACACAATGGCATTTTATGCATCTGCGCACCTTACAGTTCCAAATTCAGCACCAGAAAAAGGCTGAATGGTTTCCTTCATTTGATGTTGTCTTGTTCCATTGTGTACTTTTTAGAAATGGCTCACCTGAAAATGTTCATTGAGCCTGACAAAATTTGTCCTTGATGGGTTTTTCTCACAGAAGCATGGCAAATGCATTATGCAACAGAACTTTTCTGTAACACTGAATATTGAGGTTATTGCTAGTGCAGAATGCACAAATCAGTTGTTTTAAAAACAGTTGAAAACCATCTGTAAAATGTTTCTGGAGGTGTTTGGAAGTTTTCTCCTTATTTGGACTGATTAGTCATTCTCGAAGTAAGTAGATTTGAGATTTTTTTAATTGACTTTTCTTAGATTACATGCAATTGGCGGCAAGGCAGCGCATGGGTAAGATAAGAGAGGGTTTCCAAGAAAGTGAAATTTGGCACGTTGGCGCTTCATACCTGACTGGGAATGTATTCATTAATGGCATGTGTGTATTCATGAATGGTAGGACTTTTTGTTCACCTCTGGGATAAGTAGAGGGCAATTAACTTTCAAGATTGTAGCAGAAATGAATTGTAGCACAAAGAATGATCTTTTGACCTTGTAAGATGGATGGAGGTCGGTCAAGAATTTTGTAAGTGCAAACACAAATCTGTGCATGGTTTGTGAATTCTGGCAAAATATGTATCATTTGAGTACAATGCATACCCGGTTTATAGGTTGCTGTCACTGACCCACGTGATCTAACGTACATCTGCCATTGCCATTGGCAAAGACTGCGGTGCTTCATACAGTAGAACAGTTGGCATTAATTCAAATCTCCATGAAAGTAGAAAGATTGGTATGATAAGACGTTGCACAAGTGGTGACCGTTCTGCCATTTGATAAAGAATTCATGCTTGTTTTACAAGCTAATAGAAGCCTCCTCGTCCAGTTCCCCAGGATGTCTGGTTGCACACCAAACTTTAAACTACTGCAGTGGTGGCCGATCTCATAAACGTTATGGTCGCGTGGTACTTCAGCTCCTGTTGGCCGTACTCTTTACTTGGGTTGTGAAGTTTAGCGGGCCAACGGCACATCATACAACCTGGCCAGATTTCACCTGGCGGCCTGGGTCTTCTGCATTAACCCTAACCCTACATAATACTACAAATTACTACTTGCGGTCAAATGTAGTAATCAGTGCTGCCGCTTGTAAGAGGACATGACCGCATTGTTCTCTGAAGCCATAAAATACAATAGAAAAGACAATGTACCATATAGTGCTGTGGCACTATGAATGCATGGCTTTATTGTTCTCTGTGCAAGTAATCAATGGAAGTAACCTAGCCAGAAGTAGTAATTTGTAGCACTAGGTCCTTCAGGCTCAGGCTACCACTTAGTACATCGCAGTACTGAGTACTGTAAGCCAAACAAATGCTTGGCGGTTAGGGTTAATAGATTCAAACAGAGACTGTAATGGCAAGCTTTAATTGAATAGCCTCTTATGTAATCACCTTGCAACCTATGTAGTAACGAGTAACATTTACTGAAAATAACTGCAGTGATGTTACTTGCACTGATCTAGTGTGCCACCTTCATGGAAATAGCATGGTCTTGTCATTTCATGCCCATTCATAACCCCAAACATTTGTGTGTTACATAATCCATGTTTACATCGTTTCATGCCACTCAGTAAACATTGCCTGATACCATACAAGTGTCTTGTTCCCTTCCATGAACGTTTTTTCAGCTGTTAGTTCATTTAAATGATTAACTAATTTTTCAGGACAATGTCTGTTGGCCCACAGATTGTCAAACAATTTGCATTTCTCTGTATTTGTGTACATTTTGCATGCAATTCTGGGAACCCTGGGAGTGTCTCGGTGGTCCGTTTTTAATGGTGCGAAAAATATGACACTGACGATCATCTGCATGTGCCTGTGCATGTCTGCCCAACTTGCATCAGGGGCAAAGGACAACATGTAATGTGCAAGCCAGACAGATCTCAAGCCTTGCATCAAGACAGAGGCGGTAGTTTTCTTTTGATAATTGGTAGAGGTATCCACAAATGGTGTGTCTCTGTTGGATTCTGTTACAGCTTCACCGAGACATCGAGACTGCTGAACAAGTTGTTTAAGAGAACGCCCAGCTCTTCACGACGTGTCACGGAACAGTACGATCTCTCACAGCGTAAGTCAGGATGTAGCAAACATTTATGACCATTGTTAAAATCGGAATTGGAAAAGAGAGGCATTGGCCATTTCCTTTGTACGTTATCACAGTGGCCACATTAGTTCATACTAATCTCACTTGTGTGAGTTGATCACAATAATGATGTAACTTTGTCCAACCGTTTTGCTTTTTATTACAGATGGATATGCCTTTTCGCAAGAGGAGCACGGAGCTATAGCACAGGTAACGTACAACATATTTAGTCCTTCTTGTATTCCAGGTTGACAAATTTCAGTTTGAAGAATCCCTGACCTATTTCTTTAGCCCAGAGAGTAGGTGATACGTTGGAAAGCTTGCTTTTACAATCAGACAATTGGTGGCAGTGGCCCGTAAAAAATATCTTTCGACTTGTTTCATTCCAAAAGTAAGTTGGTAAGTCTCTTACAAGAAGGCAACATTTTCGTAGTTTTGGACAAATTTATGTTCATTCTTGTGTGACACCTGTATGAAGTTTACTTTTTTTTTTACATTTTGTCTTCAATGTATACATTTTGTTTTGCCTTGAGTAAGTCTTGCCAATCTGAGAAAGGCGTATATGCCACTGCAACAAACTCTGCAAAATGTATCCAACAAGGCACAGAAAAAAAAGGTACTTTCCAGTTCCTCACTTTGCCAAGTCAGCAACCTGCAAAGTTATGCGTGATCTATAAAACTCTTGTCTTGTTTTCTGAATCTAAGGCGGAGGTCATCAGGGTTTTTGACTCAACAAAGCGTCCACAGGGAGCAGTGGTGATCCAGGAAAACCGATGACTCCATGAGACATCAGGGCCATTCCGGACTTCCTTTTTGAGATGAGTTTGTTAACAATCCTGCTACCTAACTGAAACTCACTCCTTGTAGGAATCTTAGAATAAACTAGAGTGGTAGTTTTGTATGAGAGATCCTCCTGAGAAAACTATTAGATAAGTACTTGTCAGTGGTGATATATTTTGAGAGCAGTCTTCAGCAGAATATTGTGAATGAAAACTTGGTCATTGCTACTCAGTATGTGCATGTTCAATCTATTTTTCACTCATGTAGCGCAGGTCCAGCTGTTTGTACAAACAAGGAACAGGGTTGTTCAAGGACCATTGGTTGCCCAGTTGTTGGTTAGTGACGTACCTTGAACCTCGGCTCCAATAGTGGAGTTCAGAGGTCTCTAGTCAAACTAATCATTGGCTAATCATTGTCCAGGCTCCCTGCTGTACACTGTGACATGGACAGCAGTTGGTAACCAGTGATGTGACCAAATATAGTTGGCTGGGCTTACATAACTATCCATTTAGTTCAGCTTCACACTGTTGACTAGCCTGCAATTGATCAGAGCATAAAAGGCAAACTGTGCTTAACATGTAATTCTTTATCAGACTTGCTCATTGTATTGGCTTATATCAAGATCATACTCCGTCAACGGCCCTTGGTTTTCCCAGCCCTTGATTGGTTGGTTACTTTCTATTTGTGCACAAAGCAGCAAGCGTTAACCACTTCGCGTCAGGGTTAGTTATCAATGTTGATGATGCTGGGCCAGGATAATTATCATTTTTTCTGTTTTCAAAATTCTTCAAATATATTCAAATAAATATACGGACGTTTTATACCCACATGAAGTAATCTTTAGAACCTACTCTAAGTTGACAGGTGACCTTCATTGACGCCCGAGTGTTTCGGCCAGGCCCGCGGCCTTGTAAAAAGAGCCCAAATTGTGCGATATTATATGACTGTCTTTTGTTCTCGAACCTGGCTCAGTGCACTGCTGACCTCTTTTCAATAGGGGCCAGATTAGCGTGCAGAAGTGCTGTGTGGCTCATCGCTGCGGTGGTGGAGCGCTTTTGTCCCCGGTGGTAATCCGCTCGCTCTAAACACCCCAAACTGTGGTATACTGTTTCGAAACAAGGCTGGATTATTTCCACTTTTGAGAGTGACAAATGTTGGTAATGCCTAGGAGCCATGTTTTTAATCAGCCCAAAGGCACGTGATGTCTTTTTATACTTCAAAGATTCAGTTTACTGAGGTCAAAGGTTAAACAATAAATGATGTTCTCATTTGTGATGGTGAACATATTACTGACAAGAGGGGAAACCTTGGACACTGTCGTGGAAGTGACACTAGCACATCGTGGACATGCCTCCAAAATATGCGGGAAATTCCATGTTTTGTAAGAGACATGGACAAAGCATGGACATTTCTCGTTTATCTTAAAAGGGTTGTTCCATGCTTTGCCATGGAATAGGACATTGCTGTATTCTCAAGATTTTGTAGCTGCCAATATCAGCTGCTGTTTTTTCTCTGCCCTGCGATTGACTAATATTTCCTGCCTGAAATGTGGTAACTATTTAAGATTAGAAATATTGTGGGAAATGTGAAATTGTTTCTGTAGAATGTGTGCATACAATTTGATTTGAGATGTAAGAATATAATATAGTATGATTTGTACAAACTTGAATGAAGAACAGGAGTAGGATCATTTTGTCTGTTATTCAGAGCTGCACGTAATCTTAGATGATTTAAACTGTGAGTTGTACATACAAAAGTATAGATTTAACAACCATCCAAATATGTCTTAGCCTAAAATCAACCAGATTTGTAGCATTTATTTAACTGCCAGGGTGACGAAATTCCCAGTTCAAGGCCAAGAATCCAGGGTGTTTGAACTGAAACCAACCATTTTGGGTCCTACCAACAGGGAAGTATGGTACAAGGGTAGAAGATATGAACTTGAATTTCGTATGCAAAATCTTACTCTTGCCAGAGGAAGTCATTATTGTCATGGCTGAACCTTGTACCAGTTTACATAAGGGACCTGACACAGTACTCTTCTCCATCTTGTTTGTTATACAAAACCACTTAATTTCTCAAAATTCCAATCCTGCTCTCTCAAAGCACAAATGTGAGCTTATTTAACATTAAACACTTGCAATGGTTAAATGTAACCCCAAATTAGAATTTTACTGATATTCTTCTTGTTTACATTTATTCTTTGTATTTCATTTTTATGCAGCCCATGCATAAAGGAGCAAAGAGATGATTTGAGCTGGGAATCATCTTCATGATTCTAAGGTCAAATAACTAGAGAAAATAACATTGCACACAAGACAAAAATCTATTTATAATGCTTATTTTTTATGTCACCGATTAAAGATTTTCTAACAGTATATATGTTTTGGTTTTCTCTCGACCCTTTTATTCATTTATTCAAATTTTATGCATGATGGAGTCTTATGCAAAGTTTTGAATTGGGCAACAATACATTGTCCCTTTCACTTATCTTCAAAGCAAAATATTGAACGCATGCTATGTGGTTTTGCTTCTGAGAACCCCAAGCCTTTAGTTCAGCTGCTATTGCATTAAAAGACCCCAGTAATATATTTTCAGGCATTATGTTAAGAAAGGATTTGTATTTTCCAAGAGATTATCTGATGTACATATCTATGCCCATTTTTTTGTTTGAAGTGCAATTTTGCCTTTCATATTGTTTGTACAGTGTGACTTTTGATTCTCAAGTACAAAGGTACATTCCTGTTTTTTCCAGTTTAACCAAGATGAGCAGTCAGAAGAACGTTAAAATCTAATTTTGGTGCACTTTTTGCAGCTGATATAAAATTCATTTAGCCTTTTTCACGCATCACACCCATAGTTCCAATGTATACCTTTGTAGTTTTCTTTTTAAAGTTACCACTAGGAAACAATACCTATCAAAATGTCAACAAGAAATTCAACTTTCCATATTTGTGTAACAGATGAGCTTTTATATAGTAATGTCCCATCGTCATTGTTCATAGCATCAATGAAATATAAGAATTGTAATCTTATTTATGCCACTGAGAGCCTTGTGCTCCACGTATAATGCAGGTCATGTAAAATCCTAATCATTGTTATCTCCGGATTAATTTGTAACATTGTTAAGAGATATACGAATGTAACAGAACACTGTAGATGTTTCAGATTGTGCAAAAAGTGTCAAATAAATTAATGTCTGCGAAGATTGCATGCTCTTGTGCGTCTTGCTTCATTAACATCACTGAGTAGAATTACATTGGTGCTGTAGTGTGCTGCTCGGTTTTTAACAGGGAATCTTTCAATTTTCAAAACTTTGTCACCCCCTTGTTTCAATTTACAGGTCTCCTTTTCCACTCTTGGATGCTACTGGAACACCTGTTGAAAAACAAAAGGTTGGGTTGAATGAGAATGTTCTACATCTCATTTTCACCCTTCACTAAATCCCCCCCCCCATTGGCCACTCAAATAACTCAACTGTGTAACTTTCAGTACATTTGAACGTGTTTTTCTAGTTCATAAGACTATTTGTTAGTGTGGATAAACTTCTCGGGTGACTGATCACAGCAGGAAAATGGCTTGAATGAGCTTGCAACCATAAATTGAATAATATCACGAGAGGGCGCCGTAGTATCAGTACGATTTACGATAGGCGGACCGCGATTATCGACATTAGTGCCGGGCCCGCGAAGATTTATTTACCGGCAAATTTATCCAAGTTCGTCGTGGAGTTCTCATCATTCTGCACACGGCTACTGGATAGTGGACGGTAAGCAGCATCAGTCGAATAACCTTTAACAGTAAGTGCGGAGAATGTATAAAAATTGATAAAGACACCTCTATGTTCTGTCAAAAAAAGTGACAAGTGTCCTTTTAATTTTACGTGTGTAGGCCTACATGTAGTTGTACTTCTGTAGGTCTAACGTTGCAACGTAGGGTATCTGGCGCTGGACCTGTACCATACGCGTGGTACATGTTGAAAAGATGGCTCTGCGTTCTGTATTTGTTTTACTTCATCGTTGAGGAACGGGCCCTACTCACATCATTCAGGGATGCATCATTCAAAATCATACTGTACAGTAATGCACTGAAGTTTCCAGATTTCCAAATGCAAACATTCGTGACAATCACACGACTGATTCATTAGGCCAGCTTTAACTAGTTATGCACAATTGTCAAATTTTGATTCCATGAACTGGTGGTTAAGCGTTTTTGTGACTTGGTTATGTCACTGTGAAGTCATTGTTCCAACTGAATGAGAACGGAAGGTTGGAGTTGGTAAATGGCTCAGTGCTGGTTCAATATGACAGAAACCGAACAGACAATTTTGTCATCCCTCAAATGAGTGTATTGTAAGCTTAAAAATTTGTCGTTGATACAGTAAATCAAAGAGATACTTGTCAAGATTCCAGCATGCATATGAACAGAGCGAGCAGCACTGGTGAGAAACATGCCGGATATTGCGTGAAAATGGTGTTCATCAACAGTATCGTCTGCTTCCTTGAGCTCAGTGCCTCTGTCAGAATGACTTGACCGTTTCTGGATCTTTGTTTTTGCGGGCCACCCTTGACATGGTCCTGGTTATTGCTTTGACGTTACAAATGTATTACGGGTTAGGGATCACCTGATGCACCATTCAAACTCACTCCAAAGCGACTGTGTCATCATATCCATGGCTTAGTGTGAGGTTGCGTGTGGTGTCGACATTGAGTGTTTGTGAAGCAAACACGGAGCTGAGAAAAATAATTGAGAGGCAAATTGTTTGGTCACTTCATTCCCCTTCCTTCAAAAATGGTGCCAAAAAGTAAAAATGAAATCCCTTCAGAAAGGCCAGAGTACCGGGACATGTGTACATAAGCAAATTTCTGAATGTTTTGTCCCTTAACCCCCCTCCCCCCGTACAAAAGTTTGTCCTGAGTTGCGTCTCCCTCCCCCACCCCAGAGGATGTGCCCCTAAAAATAAATTCCATAGACGCCAATGATAAATCCTTTTATTTCAAAATTATTTGAAAATACAACTCTCACAGGTGTCAAAGCTGGACAGCAAAATGATGTTTGACATGTCCTCATTCCTTTTCCTTTAAATTTTTAGTGGGTTGAATACAAGAATTTTAGAAACTTGAGAAATGAGGGATATTTCACTCTTTGGAAATGTAGTCATTTTGAAAATGCTTCACTCTGCAAAACGGCTGAAAAGTGCCATGTTTGCACCCGATTGCATCCAAACTGCTCATGACTGGAAGTGCTGAGTCCAGGCCGGGGGTTCAGTGCCATATTTCTTCAATACCGCAATTCCATGGCTCCCAGGACTTTCTAATATAGAAAATTGTGGCCTATTTGCGTGGGTTCCCCCCCAAAAAAACACAGTTCTGGTAGATTAGTGCTAGATCCACCCTTGACCCCATAAATACATGTGTATACTGCGCAGTATATGTACGTTTGTACCACTATGCCCATGTTTGGCCGTGTGGAGATTGCAGAGCAGTAGTAGTGTGCGTGAATGTATGTAGGTTGTCATAAGAAATTAACAATTTATGTCAAAACTTCCTTTGTTTGTTTGGTGCCAGTGATCAAGTTGCACAGTCTGCCGATCACAGTGTGCTGTCACTCAATCCTTTACAAAATCTCAGTCTTTACTGATTTCTCCTTCTCAATGCAATCTGGCACTGCCAGGAATTACCGTTGAAAGAACATGTGTTTGGCAGATGACAGGTGGATCACTAGATCATGTATACTTCAAGATAAACCAATAAGGAAAGATGAAAAAGTTAAATAACCCTAACACAAGGTTCACAAACACCCTGACTAAACAGCCATACTGTAAGGTGTGGATGGGTCAGTGAGATCAGTTTATATTACCAAAAACAATGGCTATATCCAACGTACATGTAGCTAGGCCTTAACTATATGCAAATAAGGCCATTAAATTTTAAGTTACTGTATGCTAAGAATATTAGAAGTATGCATATTGTACTTGAAGGGAAATATGGGACTGCCAAACCGTATCCTTGTCTGTTATTACATAAAGTGTGAAATTTTTCAGAATACTCATTTTGAAGACAGATCAAGGTGCATTTCATCAAATGTGGACATAAATATGAGAGCGGTGACTTTCATGGGCATGTTCATGCATACAGCGGGTGTCATAGGATGATAGGAGTAGAGGTATATTTCCCAGACTCCCACATTATCTCTAAGACAAATGATTACTTGACCTTGACCTTGCTAGCAAATCCTCCTGTATGGTGATGACCTCCAACAGTCTGGCCCATGCAGTCATTTATCATACATACATGTACATGATCATGTACATGTAGGCATGATGGCTGTGGTGGGCTGTGTATGGGATGTTTCATCGAGTAATTGTAGTTTGAGACCTGTTTTTCAAATTTCTGTGATATTGTACATGTACATGCCAGATACAGGGAGGGAGCTGGCAAATTTTAATTTAGTACCCTTTTTTATATGCACTGCGTAATAATTTGTTTCTGACCAATTGCTCAAGGCCTCAGCAAAAGTGTGTTATCAGGCCTGTACTCTCAGTTTGGTGACATTGGCGCAACCAGCAGGAAATGGAATTCTTCCCATGACTTTTAGTCTGTGCAAAAATATTGTAAAGCATGTAGATGAAGGAAATGGACGAAGGTAAAAGGACCACAGATTAAACGGAATAAACTAGGTTCAGGTGGTCATGGGTGAAAAAAAGATATGAATTGTTATTATGTACATGTGGCATAGACAAATTCAATATATATTGATCGGCTAGTGACAAACATGTTTGGCATTCACAAAACACGACTGACCAAGCCATATGGCAGTGGTTGGCAGTTAGCTTCATTTGCATAATCTCTCAGAATTTCCAAATTGTAAATGAGCGCTGGCAGCGTCAGTGAATTATAAATCACAATGTGTACGCATGCACAAAGTGTAGATATATAATTGCAGTGTGCGGACAGGGCATTAGGCCTACATGAAATCAGTGTCCTGTGACATGCAATGTACATTGTTTGGTGTGTTGCTGTGAAATGTGTGATTGAATGCAAGTAGCCACATGGTTGTCAGATGCACACATGTAACATATACGTATACATGTATACTGTGTACACCTGTCTCATAGTACAGGTTTGATGTGTCAATAAATTTTAAACACTGGAACTAAAATTGATGGTCATGGGACCGGGCATTAGTTATTTTCTTTTGCTGTAATGAGTTTGCTTAAAAGGCCCATTGCCTTGTAACCAGAACCAGAAACCACCGCCAATGTAAATTCCCTGACAGTGCATCATGTGTTTCTTTGCTTGTATCATCTGTGTCAGATTTATTTTTGTCATGACTATTTGTTTATTATCTTTTTTTTTCATCACTGTCACATTTCCTCTCCACAGGCATGAATTCCTCTCTGAGTGTCAGAATGCCTTGACTGGGCGACCACCAGATACCAACCAGTGGGACGTCATTACGCAGAGGGCCATGAACTGTCAGCAATGCCCCGCCTTTATCAGGACACTAAGCTCCCAATGAAAGTTTAGTCGGTGCCAACCGGCACTTTGAGGATTTTTCATTGGACGGAAAACAGGGCAGTCTGAAAAATAAAAGGCATCGTGGTTGGACTGCCGAGTTGCTGTACATGTACATGGCAGCCCTGACACTGAATCTGCTACAACAGGGCTTCCCATTGGACCAGGAAGTTCAATCATCATCCAAAACATCATCTGATTGGTTAACAGACACCCTTACTTGGCAGTCCATGCCTGTGGACACTGCTGTGACTCACTCCATCGAAACGAAGCCGAGTTGAGGTTTTTACGTGCCATCGGTAATGATTGCCAAGTTCACACAAGCCTCCAGGAATTCATTACAGCCACACCATCTTCCCATTAATGAGTGGATAATAGTTTGTCATTGACTCAATGTAAAGGCAACAACTTGTCCGATGAGGGCAAAATCATCCCTGTGCATTGTGCCAATGGCATGGATCTACAGTGTATTCCAGAAAGTGTAGAATATCCATTGAACTCTACGCAGCATGCTAAGAAGTTGTGCAGTATCAAACTATTTCTAGGTAAGTGCGTCTAGGCAAAATGAGTACTTGTACTTTCTTTGTCATTTTTGTAGAAATCGTTTTAGACCTTTGAGAAATTGGTTTTATTTTTTTTTTTCAATGAATATGGGTTTCTGGTTGAACTTATCATTTTGTTTAAGCTAACATGTACATGAAGTGTACGTACTCTGAATTGTTTTCCTATGAAAAAGAATCTTCACAAAACCTTGCTTTTCTTGTTCACTGACAGTAAACTAGTGAGACAATTATGAGTTTCACAGCAAGGAACCTGATCAATAGAAATACAATGTATGTGCAGGTTTATCAAAACGCACTGGTGTACATGTGCTGTGCATTGATGATATGTAGGGTACTGTTGCAGTGCTTGGAGGGGTGTCTGCTTGTTTAATCAGACATCTGTTTGGAATTACAATACCCAGAATTTTGTGACTGACCACAAACATACTAATTAAGCCATGTTTCTGATTTTGTATTATATCATTCAGGAGGTCAGTGTGCAACGTTTGTTTTTCACTGGTGATGCCTTTTCCATTTAAACACCATTTGTAATCTGCGCATCATTTTTTCTTGTCATCTGAAAATTACCAGACTTTTTGTCCACACATATGTGTTTTCAGAATTCTAACAAACAATCAGTATTTTGGAATTGTGTGGAGAATTAGTTTGAATTGGACACAACATGCACAGGATTCCATTTTAAGGTTTCCGGATCTCTTTGGTACAAGAAACGTTTCCAATGGTGAATTGTTAATTAAATATAGAAATCAATTAATTTATTCAGTATTGCTCAGTAATTGAGCAAATTGTCTAATTGTTTTTTCTGGTTATTTTTGTCTTTTCTTTGCAGTAGGTGACAAATTTGAAAGTCCCAGTGGTTTGAAATATTTTCATCAGCAAAATGGCTGGATAAACGTGATATGGGCATATAAATGTATACTTTGAATATTCATGTTCAGTTAGCATTTCAAAGAAAGTTAATTTATTCCTCCATGGAGGTGTGTGATTCTACCTCCATGATTCCTCTGACCAGGCATAAATGTCAGAATTTGTGTAAATACATTGTGCATGTACATTAATTGGCCTGACATTGTTGTCATGCCTGGAGGTCCACAGGAAAATAACCCTTAGAAGTGACCCACCCAACGACCCTGGGGCTCTTCCTGAATAGGGCAAATACTTGGCTTATGTTTCCCATCCCGAGACCCCACAGTGTGCCGCCCAGAGGTCACCAAGAAACCAGGCGTTGCCAAAGTTGTGTTGAAATATGGTACACCGTGGAGCTATAAAACTGATAGCTCCAGCAATACCTGTTCCCGCACTATGGAGTACATTTTACCACCATAATAGTGCTGGGGCCAGTGGGGATACTTGTACATACATGTACTGCATGCAGTGCAAGAGGATTGTCTTCTGGGGTTCAAGTTATCTGGGGCCTTCTCACTTACTGAATATCATGCTGATATGTGGAGGAAATGAAGCACTCATATGAAGCAATCACCTGTTTCCAAGGCAGGCTGAAAGTTGAGTTACTTTATGTTATTTTTAGATACTTCTAGGACTTAGCTACATGTACAATGATGTTCTTGTACAATGTACATGTACATACAGTACATGTACATTGTACATGCCTTGTTGTACATGTACATATACTGTATGTACATGCTACATTCTGGTACCAGTGCATGCACAAACATGTATGTACATGTATACACATGCTGTTCTCATGTGCACTGTATTTGGACATACATGTACAGTGCCTTTGTAAACTGATTTTTGTTTTATTTGTAATCCCTTTTGTGTATTTTGTTGGTTTGGTCATGTATATTAATTTTCTGACTTGTGGGAGTGTTTTTCCTCATTCATTTTGATGACAAAAATACATACACCCATCAGTACTCTGTTTCTGTTGATGTCCATACAGAATGCACATGTTCATATCACCTGCTGAAGTTGCTGCATGAAGGAAATTTAAGTTAAAATTAAAATTAGATGAATCAAAAGATTCACATGTTATGAATTAAAATCTACAGTGAAATGCACTCCAGAAATGGAGTTATCATTACAGTTCGTATGGTTAATACCCTAATCACCCTCAATCATCCAAACTCCTATGGTGATTTTTTGGAGGATTTTGGAGGATTGAGGCTGCATGGCAAATTGCATTGCTAATTGCGAAGGATGGATTGTGTCAAAGTCTTGAGTTAGACTGTGTGTTGTTTATGCCCAACCATGAATGAATGATACATGAAATCATTCATACTGCTCCGGGAAATCATTCAAACTGCCTTGACATATTGTAATAACAGGAATTGCTAGAGACTTTTGCAGGATTTAGGAAGGGGTCATCCCACCAAGGAGCCTTCAAGGAATAAAGGAGGATTTTTATGGAAGATTGAGGAATGAATACATTTTTTTTGGCAGGGCAGTCAGAGGGTTTGAAAGAATTGAAGATGTGCCTTAACAACAAAGGCCCAGGGGATTAAACCTGAGTGGTAAAATGGAAAAAAAGAATCAGTCAATACATGTATATATGTATTTTTTATTTTTTTTTCAGACTCATCTGTGAATTAGACAAACCCGAAGAAACAGGAGTTTGAGGTTCCAGTTACTTCAGATCCTTTGCTGCACGATGCATGCTGTGTTTCAAGCCATGGCTGCTTCCGTCAGACAACACCTTGTCACGTTGTGTCTCACCGCTTGCGTCACCCTGTGCTGTGCAACTAATGGTAATAACTGGATTAAGATATGTCAGAGATGGAGACTGGAAATGTGCCAAGTTGAATGAACCTGTTTGGTATTTCGAAGTGCAAGGTCATGCAGGAACAAAGCACGCTTGCGAGTCCATGTAGGGTCACGCTGATAGGGCAGACCTCACACTAGCATCCAAATGACCTTGGACACGCTTCAATTCAGCCATGCGCTGTCGGAATACCAAATTGGCTCATTGTTAGATGTCCACTGATGGCAAACAGATAACACTATCAAGAAAACCGAGGGTTTGCTGAGTACTACGCAATCTTAAAAGGCGTCCAATTATGGCTTCATTGACCTCACAGAGTTTCAGAATGTGCAACCTGTTTGTAGGATGATCCATCCTGATCACTTATAATTCCACTGAACATCAAATGCATTATAAATGCATACTGTCACCAGAGTTGTAAGCTTTCAGGGAGCACCTCAAAAGTTGGAACAGAACACGATATTCCAACAAGATCATTTCTTATTCTAATAAGCCTTATTTTAATAAGTCAATGCCTTTGCATGCTTTACATGGGAGCGGCCCATTTCCATCATGGTATTCATGGTAAATTCTCAAAAGGAACGCACAGTGCCCTGTGAAGACTTAAAAAGGACCATTCCAGCGGGAAACGGAAAAGCTCCAACCTTTGAGAAAATCTCTGTACTGCAATGGTTCTTTGCTCATCAGCAGATCGTGCATCCATGCACAAAAAAAAAGACGTGAAGTGATGACATTTCCTGGAATTAATCTATGGCATGTAATGTTCGATTCACACCTCCCCCCCCTTTTTTTTTACAGAGACATCTTCCTCTCTACAGCTGCAACCTTCACCAAGCCCCCCTTTATCACTGTCCTCCATTGCTCCATCAGGTATTCTTGGATTGCTTGATTATTCACTTTTGTTTATTGTGAATAGCCTGCTCATTGCCATGGTCTGCCTCTTTACCCAATTCAGAACCTAGCACTGGAGTCTTGAAAGAAATAATGTTTGGGAGGGGGGGGTGAAAGAAGGCTTAATGAACAAGAGAAGCTGCAAAACCCCAAAATAGAATTTGTTGTCTTTGTTTTTGGTGGTGTATGGTGCGTCATCTCATTGCTGACAAATAATTTTGGATTCACAATGAAATTGGCAAGCTGACCCCAACAAGGTTGGTGGTCAAGTGGTCCAAGACATCTACTCCAGTATGCTGGAAGTTATGGGTTCCAGACTTACCTGAGCAAGGTTTCCTCTACAAGCTCCTAGGGGTGGGGGGGGTAAATAATGAGCATGCATTGCACTGGTAAAGGAACAAATCAAATGTTATACCTTACATGTAAGGAGAGTTTGATCTTCAAAATGCTAATACCCATCATGGCAAGTCCAGGATTTTGTGCACACTACATTTACGTATGTGACCAACTCGTAACAGAAGTTTTACCCTCCAAGACATTTGTTTATTGTATGGATGGAGAATACAGTGTGCCAACAGGAATTTTTACATAAGTAGTCTTTTTGGTTATCGTGTTGTTAAAGAAAAGATGGTGTTACATATGGGATATTAACGAGAGCTTTTCATTGACTTAATCATCAGTTGACAACCAATTAGTCTGTGCTTTTTTGGGGGGGGGGTTATAGGGTAGCGGGTCATATCAGTATGTTTCCAACAGTTTACCTTGTGTGGTTTCTTCTTTGCAGACACACTAAGCTTTCAACTTCATGCCAGTTCTTCGGTCATTTCCAGCCATCCCCCAGCCTCCGTCTTGCCATCGGGACCTCCCTCATTCCAAACCAGAGGAACCAGAGTGCCACTGCTCTCCAGTCGGCTGCCCACACCGACTCCAGTGGGGTACCCCACACCAACCCCTTCGTGGCCCTCCCTAACCCCTCAGTCAGAGGTCCTCCGCACCCCTACTCCTTCTGCCTCTTGGTCCACAGGTTTTGAGTCCCCAGTGGCATCAGCAGTAACCAATCTATTTACAACACAGGTTATCAATGCATCACAGTCTGACCAGTGGCGGTCCTCGTCGGCACCATTTCCCGTGCCTCCGGTTGCGCCTGGACCGCCCCCATATTTCACTTCTATGACAAACATGACAGAGACAGTAACAGATATACTTGTGACAGCCACGTCTAATTTGCTTACCACGGCAGTGCCAGAGCCATCACAGCAAATGACTATGAAGATGTCACCAGGAGGGTCATTGATGGTGTCAGAAACTGAGATGTCTGTGTCACGCATGACTTCATCCATCAGTGGAGCAATGACCATGCTCACAGCATCTCCAGCAGTTTCGTACACTCCACGATCTACGCCCACAGAATCAAGTGTAACATATAGACCTATGCCAACTCAGTCTTTTGTCATGAGCACAGCTGAACCAACTCATTCCTTTGCCATGAGCACAACAGGAGGCGTTTCGGGTCCCTTGCCTACACCATCTTTGTTCCCATCTTCAGAGCCATGGGATAACGACACCCTTCCAACTGCTGCGACCACGCAAGGCACTGATTTGACAACTTGGACCTCTACTGTGGAAGTTCACACTTCTCCTCCCAGATTCATCCTTGTTAAATGTACAGTCACCCTCAATGGCGATTGCAACGAGGCCAAAGAGCAAGAGCAACTGTTCCGGGAGGCGTTTGCCCAGTTCATTGCCGGCACCCTAGAGATGGACGTTGGCAGGCTGATAGTGGAGGAGGTCCGTTGCGGCTCGGTGGTCGTAGACTTCACCATTCAAGATGCCAAAGATGGGTCCCTGGCCCAAAACCTCACGATCATGGTGGACGAGGGTGACCTTGGCTTCACTTTCCAGAACCAGTCCTTCATGGCAACTTATGCCGGGATCAGACCACCCAAGCCTACCAAGAAAGCGCCAGATGACAAAGGTGGGCTGTCGTTTGCAGAACAGGAGCGCCTCATCTACATCATGATTGGATCGGCCGTTGGCGCCGTTGTCCTGATATCCCTCATTCTTGTCGTCCACCACCACGTGCGTAGGTCTTGTCGTACCCACACCCAGTCCTTCGACATCCAGGAAGAGCCCCACATCAAACTTTCGGACTTCAACATGGCGCACACGTACATCCCACGACCTCGTAGCATTTACGGATCACGGCCCCAGACTGACAGCACCTACCATGCTAACGGTGACAGCGGGAGCCTGCACCGTGGTGTGCCGCACAGCCCGACGCCGTATGTGTATGCTGACGACCAGGCAATACGGCGGCACTACCGTGAAGTGGTAGACAGGGATGCGAATATTAGGATGAGTCAGGATTTTGGACGGAGTGGAGTGCCAGATCTGAACCTGCCTAAGCTGGAAGGTAAAATTTCTTGTAGTTTCCCTCATTTGGGGCTAAACGTCAATGTGCAATGCGGTGTTTGCCTCGTAGAGGCTTCCTTTCGTCTTTACAGTTGATGTAATTCATATATTATGCGGTTATTTATTTTTCATTTGTTTACGAGTGTTTTCATAGTAATGCGGACTTGGTAGCCTTTTGTATACTTTTAAGCAGAAATAAACAATTGTAAAACAATTGTAAAAACGGTATTGTTCCATGCAGAACAAATGCAAAACCTGTTGGCAACATCTTTGGTATGCATTACATTGCCATACCCAGCTCTGATCCTGACCATTACTTGTTTTAATGCATAGAGGGCTCCTGTTGTTGTGGACTGTTGATTGAAATGGTTCAGGTGTAAAAACAAAAATTTCAGGGGCATGATAAAACATTGGACCCTCCGTCTTCCCCCCTGCAGGTGGTGAAACCATTCGTGAAAGTAAGACAAGGCAAACCTTAAACTCAAAATGCCAAAGTGGTCCAAAGTTGTTGACTGTCTTGTATGTGGATGTGCATTTGAATAGCCTGCCAGGCTAGTTTCAGTGGATTAATTTCTATCCACGGAAATGTAAAACTTCCATCGAGATTTCACTGTTTTCATGGGGCAGAGGATGGGGTCATTGGATGTCTGGAGTTCAGCGTTAGAGTCATTTAACAAGATTGTGGATGTAATGTATTGTGTTATTCATTTTGTATTTTGCCTCAAATTTGTGATTAATTGTCCTCTGTAACTTGTGTTTCTGCGTTGGTTTGCTGTTTTCTTTTTTTACCCAGGTGTTCATGTTGCTGGACAGGAAGATGACATTGATGAGTCTCTCTTAAGACCCCTCTCCGTACGCAGAGGCAGTAATGGCAGCACTGTCAGTAGACTATCGGCGACTTTCCACGCCCCACCCGAACCTCCGCCCGAGTCCCCCCCCCCCCGACCCCACCCCCCCCCCCCCCCCCCCCCCCCCCCCCCCCCCCCCCCCCCCCC